GGTGTTCTCACCATTTCTCGAGTATCAAACAAAGGCATAGTCTTATAGAATCTTACCTCGTATAGTTCTTTTGGTTATCACACAAATAACATTATCAACCCGCGTTTATCTTGTTATTATTACCAATTATAACACAAATAGGTTAGATAGTTCCCTCATTTACTACTATCTCGCTCGTTATCTCTTCTAGAACGTTATGCAAGGGTTTATTAGTCTTTTAGTGTTTGATGTTCGTAAGGGAATCAATATTCCTTGCTACCCAGCTGGTATATTACTACTAGTCCAATACATGATTTGGGGTTAGTTCATTGATAATGCTTTTTAGTTGCTCTCATCACACCTCTCATCGGTTCACCCTTGAACTGATAGAGTAACTTGCTCGTCGTTGGTTATAGATGTTCATGTGGTAATCGATTCCCTATATCTCGCTGGCACATTCTTCAAAACTATCCTTCGTTTGCAATTACTAGACACATGTTTGGTTGAAGATACTTGGAAGTATTACGTCTACTATGATTACTTCAGTCGTAACCTACCTCTAAACACCTTCCTTAACACTTATTCTAGTGTTTTACTCATGTTAGATCTCATTTCTGATCATACTATGGGTTTATGGCCTTTCGGACAACATTTCAGGCATATTTGGACATTTTGGGCAGGGGTTTTGAAACCTCCCAAGGTAATTTTTGTATTATAGACAAGGGTTTCAAAACCAGCTTGGGGGGTTTCGAAACCATTACTGTAGATTGCCATTTTTCTTACGAGAAAGCTCTCCAAATAACTCTCAAAACCTTCCAAAGGTCTCCAAATGTTATCTAAATCTTATAGAAGTCTTATAGGGTCATCTTACACCATAAAAGCATGATCTTTACAACAATAACATCATCTAGGATCTGAATCAAGCAAAACCCCCAACAAAGCATCACATTTAGGAAATTCATAACACAAAAAATGATTAGAAACATACTAGCTTGATGTTTAAATCCTGAAATGAAACTCCTTGCCTAGACACACTCATTTCCTCTATGATTTGGATGAAACCATCACTTTTTCTTGCAACCAAAGAACTCAAGGCTTTGAATCGTTAACACAAGTTTGATGGAGGGATTGAGTACGAAATTGAAGCTTAAAATAAGTATAAAAGGTTCTCAAGATCTTACCTTTGAGTTAGGCACTTGGAGAGGAAAAAATGGGAGAAGGAAATGGGAAGGATGAAATGAAGAGAAGAAGATGCAAAATGATATATAAAAATCCTCATCTTTCGGAAAAAAATGATTGCTAATTTGATATTTCCTCAACTTTTCACTATTCAAAAATCTTCATTTTATGGTTAATTGGGCCCAATTCTAACCCAATTAAGCCCAACGAGTTAAATTATGAAATTCATGAGGTCCACATGACTCTCGAGTAAACCCAAAACTACTAAACCATAATTTAGAGTGTTACATAAATGAACAATCTTGAGGTTACAAAGATTTGCAATAATTCTTCGAATGCATTAGATGAAAGTTTGTTGGTTGACAGGATCCACGAGCTTCGTAATTGTGCATGGAATATTAAAGACATATCAGTCGAGAACAAAATACTGCTTCAGATCGACTTGCTGTGTTGAGCCGAGGTGCTACTAACTTCATAGATCCGCTGGTGGAGTTGATCACTACGCTACTTAAAGACTTGCAGGGGTCTAGAATCTAGATAATCCTTTTTGGTCATTAAAACAAATATCTTAAGAACCAATCAAATCATGTCACAAGTAATAAGAATAAAAATATTAAAATATCAAAAAAATTAAAAGTATAATTTTTATAAAAAAAAACTCTAACTAAGAATTTATGTTGTGGACTTATATCTATTTTTCAAAATTATAATTACGCTTACTTTTTAAAATAAAAATTAGTAAATAATAAAATTTTAAAAATCCAAAAATTCTATTTAAATAAAATTTGCAATCTTAGATATTTTTCTTAATATTTTTATAATTTTATATGATTTTTAAAAAAATCAATTTTTCATGGCACGTGCTATATTATAATTGAATTAAATCATCATTTAATATTAATATGAATATAGTATTAGAAAAAATAATACCATGAAAAATAAATTGAAAAAGTAATAAAAGAGTACAACTAAAAGTTAAATTAGAATATAAGGTGAAAATTAACCTTCAATATTTACTAAAATAGTTATTTCGGTCTTTGTTTTTTTCTTTGGAATATTTTGATTTCTAACATTTTATTTTAAGGTAAAATAGCCTTTAACGTTTAACTAAATAATCACTTTGACTCTTATTCTTTTTTAGAGCATTTTGACTCATACTCTTTAATTTTAGAGTAAAAAACTAAAAAAAAATCATTTTTGTATACAATAGGGATTAGTTTTGGAATTTTACCTTTCAAAAATATCTTAAAACTACCAACGGTGCTTATGCGATGTGGGTATACATCATTTTCGTCCCCTCTTGTGACACTACCGAAAACAATTCTTACCTAGCGAATAATTTCATTATAATTCTTTCTAATATCTAACATTATTTCTTGTCTCTATCACCGAAAGAGATTATGTTTTAAATTAATGGTACCCTGTCGAAAATGAAATGTCGAGACCAAAAATACTCTAAAAAATTAATGATAAAATGATTATTTAATTAAATATAAAAAATATTTTTTGATATTTCGTCAAATAAAACACTCGCACATGGACCTTTTAACATTTTTTGGGTATACTTATTGGTATTCGATATATTGATCAACTAATTCAGATCGGGTACTACAGAGGCAAGGGCAATCCTCCCAACCCAGTTTGCTCCATTCGCAATCGCCATGAATCAAACTTCTGACATTGCTTAAGGGATTTAGTTTCTCGTCCCACACCAGACTAACTAATAATTGTTGGTATGGACCTTTTTAACATTTTACCGGTTTAAAAAAGAATCAAGATAACATAGAAAAGGTAAATCCTCGTTTCATGGAGTTGCAAGAATATATGTTTGTATTGGTAAAAAGCGGAGGAATAAACAATACATTAGCTTCTAATTTTCCTTGATCCACAAGTTTCTTATTTTTAAATTCGTCTTCACCAAATCATGTCACCTTTTAATTCAAAAAAAATATTAACTAGATTAAAAGTTAACCAATTCAGAAAAATTAATAGACAACAGATTAACATTTAGCTCAGATGTCTGTCAAGCTTTTAACATAAAAGCAAGGATTTAAAAAGCGTTCGCTGCAGCGTAGTGTTTATCGCGATTGCGGACATAACAGATGCCATCGCAGTCACTGCGTGTGCCGTGGTCGTGAATTTTTTTTAAATTTCGTACAACTTATCATAAAACATAATAATTATTATTATAATTATAATTATAAAGTCTCATTTTTAATGGTTTTTAAAATGTTTTCTAAGCGGAAATGACATATATTATATAGTTTAATCAAATAGAAAACTTTAAAACCCCATGATAGGATAAGATTACTAAATTAAATAGAATTAAAATAAAAGTATAAAATTTAAATTGTAGAAATTTAGATTACTGAAATTAGGACTAAATTAAATAAAAATTAAAGTTTACATTATAAATTAAAGATTAAATTATAAAATTTAAAAGATGAGACTAAATTATAGATTTTAAAAGATTGGAGGGAGTGGTGGCAAATTAACATACCATTTAATTTTAGAATTGATTTAAAAAAAATTAAAAATAATGAAAATAGAAGGGTGAGAATGGAATGGACAAAATAAATAAATAAATAAGGCTCTTGGAGTTGAGGAAAACTCGAGAACCTTTCTTCTTTTATTCTCTCAACTCTCTGCTCTCTCAACTCTCAATTCTCTCAAATCCCATCCCATCTCTCTCAACTCTTGACTCGCAAATCTTTAAGGCTTTTAATTTTTTTACCTTTCATGGAAGCCCGTTCTGTTACTCCTCTTCTTTACCGGCGACAAAGCACAACAGACTAAGGTTTTCCTCTAAAATAACTTTGTTTTGTCAGTTTGTCTCCTCTCCGTTTTAATCTTTACCTCTTTGGCGAGTCTTGATTTTGAACTCTTGATAATTGATATGCTCTCTCATGATTTTTTGAGTGTGAATTTAGTCTTTCTTAATTTTTTGGCAGTAAAAGTGGAATAGCGTTAATAACGTCCCGTTATCGATGCTATCCAACGTTACCCATTAGATTGCAGACGCGATGCAACGCTATCGATGTGAATCTTCTACACATCGCGAAATTTGTTAATATTGGTTTCGGACGGCGATGCTACCGCGAAATAGCTATCGCTATAGTGTTTGCGTTCCTCTATTTGAATCCCTGCATAAAAGTAAAAGTTTAGAACGTATTAATAGTCGGGTGACCATTTTGTAACTTTTAATAGTCGGATACTCCACAAAGAAACTCTCTATAATCGAAGGACCGTTTAACATCCCTTAATAGTCAAGAAACTCAGCAAAGCAGTATCCTATAATTAAAGGACCATTTGTGTACTTTACTCTATTTATTGGTTTAAATCTATCTCATACAAATTTGTTAGGCATAATAAAAAATGTCTTTAACGTTTGTCTAAATAACTATTTTAGTTTTTATTTTTTCAAAAATATTTTGGTCATAACCTTTCATTTTAAAATAAAAATATTCCTAATATTTAATTAAATAATAATTTTGTCCCTTATATTTTTTTTTGAATCAATTTTGTCCACCAACATTTCATTGTAATGAAAAAAGATATTCGAAATGATGCTGCTGCTGCTTTTTTTCTTTCATGTTTCATAGTTTGTGATTTCTTTGTTATCACATCTTTAACGAGTAATCTTAAAAATTCTTGTTTTCAGGTTAGGTTTCTTTCAATTATAAAGATATATCTAATAATGGTATTTTTGATTACTTTCTAAAGTTTGTGATTTCAATCTTGTTTTGTCGAAAATTTCATTTCTTGTTGTTTTTCATGTTGGCTAAATCTCATGCTTTGTATGGTATACTGCAAGATCTTATGGTAAAAGAAATTGCTTTCCAATGAATTTGAAATGGGAATTTGATTTTCTTGAGAAACTGAATATAGGAGTTACAAAGAACGGCTCGTTAGTCGTTTGCTTCGGTGAATTGTTGATCGACTTCGTGTCGACAGTTGGGGGGGTTTCTCTAGCTGAAGCACCTGCTTTCAAGAAGGCTCCTGGTGGTGCTCCAGCTAATGTGGCCGTCGGGATATCGAGATTGGGTGGGTCGTCGGTTTTCATAGGCAAGGTAAATTCGAACATCTGTTCTCTGTAGCAATCACGAGAATGATTCTATGATATTGTTGTGTCTGTATGTTTTGATTCGCTTGAAAGATGAAAATTTTGCATACCATTTTCACTTGAACATCATGAGGTAGGCGATGATGAATTCAGTTACATGTTAGCTGATATATTGAAACAGAACAACGTCGACAACTCCGGCATGCAATTCGACCGAAGTGCAAGAACCGCACTTGCATTTGTTACCCTCAGAGCTGATGGTGAATGCAAGTTATTGTTTTTCCGTCATCCGAGTGCCGATATGCGTCTTCATGAGTCGGAACTCAATACAAACGTCATCAAGCAGGTTTTCTTTGTGCCATGTTCTTCTTTGTTTCGAATAGTGGATGTGAAAGACTAATTGGTTTAGGCAGGGTATGGAAATTTCTGATATGCAAATAATATTGATCGTATGCCAAGATCTTCCATTATGGTTCGATTAGTTTGATCGAGGAACCGTGCAAGTTAACTCACCTGGCGGCAATGAACATGGCCAAGAGGTCAGGCAGCATTCTCTCTTATGATCCGAATTTAAGATTGCCACTATGGCCATCAGCAGATGCCGCTCAGAAAGGCCTAATGAGCATATGGAACCAGGCAGACCTTATTAAGGTATAGATTCGTGTTTACGAGTCTTTCAACGGTATTCATTCGCTGCTAACCTAAGAAAATGCAGGTAAGCGAGGATGAAATTACCTTCTTAACCGGAGGCGATGATGCTTACGGCCATAATGTGGTGATGAAGAAGCTCTTTCATCCCAATCGGATCAGCCGGTTGCGGATATTATACCAAGGTAAGTGTATCTGATGTTATGAGTTTTTTTACCTTATTTTATTAAGCTTTCCTCAGAGCATTAGTTGATGCTCTGCTCATACATCTCTATAAGCCCACAAGTTTACCTTACATTTGTTTGAGCTATTTTCGCTGCTTTAAGTGGTTCCATATACGAATAAAAACAATCGATCCGTACATCTTATGTTCTTGTACGAGATGAACATATAAAACTAGCTGAAAATTATTTTGGCTTCATTTTCTGTTTAATTTATTAAATATTTATAGGATTAAAGGATTAAATTTATCGAATTAAAAATAGGATTGATATCAATATAAAACTAATAGAATATATAATCAAATGTGTAATTATATAAAATTTAGGGTAGACTATTCAAATGATCACTTAACTATAGAATTGGTATCAATATAACCCCATACTTTTTGTAGACACCCTTTTTGTCCGGGTCTTATTATTATTATTTACATATTTTTACATTTTTGTGTATACCAAAATGAAGCCCAAGCCCATAAGAATCAACCCGGCCCAACAATAGATATCTAACCCAATTACAAGACCCAAGCACCAGGCCCAGCTGACCCAAACCCGGCCGGATCCGACCCGAACAAGCCCAATCAACAACCCTAAACATTAGTTATTCTCTCCAGCAACAGTAACTGCTACCAGCAATTATTCGACACCCCACCGGCGTGTGGGCTTCATCGCCCTATTTCCCAGTCGCGTGAGCCACCGCCGTCATCATCGATTCGTACCCAATGCAAAATATCAACCCCTTCAATCAATCAATGTATCAAATCCAAACCCATTTTTTAAATGTAATAAATCCCGAAAAATCGAGATTTTTTACCAACTCGTACCAGAGAAATCATACCCTATTTCTAATTGGTCCTGGCTGTTTCTTCCTTTTAGTTTTTTGGTCCCTGAATCTACTATTATGGAATTTGATATTTCATTTTATTTTCATTTTATATAGGTATACATAGTTTACATATTATTATTTATTAACGAAATTCCTATATATGGGTATTAATCATGTTAATAAAATGTGTTCATTCGAGTTTTCCATCTGTATATATTTACTTATATGTATATGATTGCATCCTATATGTGTATTATTGCTTCATGTATTCTTTGTGTGGTAGGTATTTTATTTACCTATATTTCAATATGATATATTTACTAAGTATTATTATGTATTTTTTTATGAACAAGTATATATATATATATATATATATATGTAAATAAGATAAATGTTAGTCATGTTGGTATTAAATACATTTTATTGTTTAACTTTTACCACGTGTATGTATACGTTATTCATTAAACATATTTCAATCAAAGTTTAATATATAAATATATATAAGATTCATTCGTTCGTTAGTGTCAATCGAATATTTTCAAGAACCTTATTTGTAGAATGGGCGTGGAAAGTGCCACTTGATCGAAGTGGTGCAATCCGATACGACGTTCAAACAGAATATGAATTTGAAAGTGCAAATCCTTTTTTATGATTTTTTTAGAAATTATTATATTTAAAAAAAAATTTAGTTTATTTATTCTATTTTCATTATTATTTTATAGTATTTAATTATATTTAATATTTTACAAATCGATGTTAGTATTAAGGATGTATGCTTAAAAAAATAAATCATGATTTATTCTATGCCCATTTTCGATATTAATTTTTTTTAGTAATTCGAAGATAGAATATTCTTTACGGATAAGAAATAGGCGAGATAGTTTTCCCGACAGAGTATTGCAAATCTCAGGATTTCTTATCAAGTTAAAGGATTTTCTTAAATTTATTAATGCGTAGTAATTTAATTAATATTCAATAAATATATCGTAATTTTACTTTTGATTCGAATTTTGAGTTCCACTATTACGACGATGTATTAGCGGCTAAGTACTAATTTTGGGCACTGTGGGGTGCTTATCCTTCCTCACATGTAACCGACTCCCGAACCCCTAAAATTTTTCTGATGACGCATACCAATTTGTCTAAAAAATGATTTTTCTTAAAATTATTTTAAAAGCCGTTTTTAGGTATTCGGCCTACCTAACCTAAAGGTCGATGGCGAATCCGATTCAAAATAATTTAAATTAATTCAAAATCACCAAATTTTTAAATCAAAGTCATAATTGTTTTTAAAAAAAATGGTTATGACAGCTTGGCGACTCCGCTGGGGACTTTTTTTTTAGAGAGTCAGGCTGTAAGTCGCTTACACATTGTCATTATGGTGTAAATTATAAGTTTGAGTCTATAGTTAACTTATGATCCATTTATTGATGTTTTTAATTTCTTTATTTTTCATACTAACGATCTAATTTTTATTTTCAGCTCTGTCAAAGTTTCTATTGAGAGTTTTTATTTTTTCCATTTTTTTAGTCAAAGGTTTGTATGTTCCTCCACACACACATCACGTGCAACCGCATGACATAAGCTCTAGACCCGAGCTTCGTTCCAAGTAAGTGGGGGTGAACGCTTTACTCTCGTAAGAATTTATTTTTTGTATGAGTTTTAGCAAATAACACTTGGGATACATATGCCTTATACCTTCGTAGGGATTTATTCCTCGTATGGGTATAAGGAAGCGAGTTCCCTCGAATTGAACTCGATTCGTTTATGCTTGTAATAGGTTAGGATTGAGGGTTTGGCAGCCAAAAGGGGCACCAACATCAAGGAAAATTCGAGTACCCTTTTCTCATAGAGCCGAAACCATGCATATAGTGAACCGTAGTACGATTACCCTAAGTATAGTCATATCGAACCTCTGTCCGTCAGTAAATACCCAAAATAAGTGTACACAAAGGAGGAGCATTTTTGAAACTTTACATTTTGCTTTAAATTTTGTTGAATAAAAGCATACGAACTAGATACCATGAGGTTAGGATTATTTTCTTGAAAATAAATCATTTTGGGTAGAAAGCATGTCCGGGTAGGAATGCAATTTAATGAAAGCATGCTTCGGTTGATACCATGATTGGGTGGGTGTTATATTTATCTTTAAATAACATATTTTACTTTTATTGATTATCTTGCCCATACTAACTTATTTCTTTTCTTTTGTTTGTGTTATTTTTCCTCCTTTTTACATTTCATCATCATAACATAATGTGAAATTATTGATCCGCAAGGGGATATTCAAGTAAAAATTTTCACAAGGTGAAGTAAAAGTTTTCATTCAAGTAGTCGTGTATACAGACATGCACAGAGGGCTAAAAAAAGTTCAGAATACAAAAATGAGACTTGCTCGAAGAACGTACAACATTTGAGACTAAAATGATGATCCATTGATCCGAGGAGTAATCCAGCAGTAGAGCCTTATTTACGATCATTTTATCGCCAGTCACCAAGGAGCGGCACACTAACTTCAGCATCGCTGGGGCATTAATGGAGTTAGGTTATAGAGTATTTGAGGGGCATAATTTTCAAGGATGAAGATTCGAGATGAAGATCCGAGATGAAGGATCGACCCATTTCAGACTGAGCATCTAAGCAAAAACATGTCTGTAAAATGGACTATCTTGTAATGTGAAGGCTTTTATCTCTGGTGAAACTTATTCTACAATATTCATCGTTGGGATCAATCTTTTCGCATATGCATTTGCATCTTTGCATTTTACATATGCATTTCAATTTTTTAAGCATTTTCACATACATCATTCATGAACACATGGGGATTAATTCATAGAGAATGCGATGAAGTGGTTCTAATCACGTGACACCACATCGAGAATAGAAGCAAGATTTGAACAATTAAAGAAAGAAGCTGAAATTAGTACAGTGGAAGCCTATTAAGCTAGTTATGGGGCTGAACCTTCCAGGATGATCCGAGAAAAGAGTCCTCATATCATGAAGGCTACGATGTTAATGCCATATGCAGCTATCATGTTGGGAGTTCAGGGCACACCACTAAGAATTTTGGGGTATTAAAGCGCAAGGTCCAAGATCTGATTGATTCAGGGGCATTGACATTCAATGTCTAATAAGGCATTCTGATCAGGAGTAGGTTGTGGAACCCGTAAGGAATTTTGTTGCATTCTCATGAAATGCATGTCATCTTGTTTGAACTTGTTTTCTTCATACGTTTAAATGTTTGTAAGTTACTTGAAATTCGAACATTTTAAATAAAATGCTTCATTCTGATAAAATGAGCAATGAGCAAATTTTAATTGTGAAATTCCTTGAATATCATCTCAATTAAAAGCTCTTTAATAATTGAGGTTGTAAATCTTTGACAAATGACAAGATTGAACCCTGCAAAACAGGAACCCTTGATCCTACTCTAGAATATAAACCTGAATACATAATGTTCTCTTGCAGGGACCAAGCTAGCCTTCTCCACACATGTAGAGTCAATCAAGGGCTTAGCAGTCAGGTATGTGTTAGGAGCGGACAAAATGGGGCATCTAGCACATAAAATTGCAAAGCGAATTAGTTTCTACTTTCATTGATGATGTTCAATGATGATCATGATCTTCACAGATGGAATGGTCGAGTAGGTGAATCTAGTTTAGGTTAGTTGTTTGGAAATTGAACTCTAACGATGAGATTTTTTGACCTTCAAACAACACCTGGATTATAACAGGTTCTTCTTGACAAGCTTGAGAAACTGAACTCGTAGCCAGAATATAATTATATATGTATAAAATAAAGCTGAGCTATTCTGCTAAAGCAATTGGTTATAGAGGAAACTCAAAGGCCCTGACTTTATGAATAGATTACATTCAAACCATGATATTGATTGGGTACTTGGCAATTCGGTGTTTGCTCCACTGTGATCGTCAAGTCAAAGACTTTGTGATGCCATAAATCCTTCAACTAGCCAAATAAAGGCAATAATAATATATATATGTACAATAAAGCTGAATTCAGCTAGCCAAGAAATGGCGAATTAAATCAAATTTACTAAATAAGGAGTTTAGGTGAATATGGATTAAGGGAGTTTAGGAAAACCTGTTATAGTCGACTTTACATGAGCACTCAGGAACCTCAATTTTAGACCGATATTTCAGCACTACCTTTGCTAGAGGAGCCTACGAAGCTTGAACAAATGGAAGATTTCAGAGAACTGAAATAGAAGTGTTCTAAAAATTCTAGCAATTGACTATGCTAGTTGCATTATTTTGTCTGCCTCCAATTAAAAACCTAAACCAAGAAAGAGGGACATGTCTGATGAGTGTTCTAAATCGGTAATATTTGCTCGTTAATTCTTCGATTTTATGGATTTATTGCTGTTGATTTGGTTGTGTTATGCTTATTTTTGTTCAGGGTCTTACTCTCCAGAATTAGTAGTAAAACAGGCGCATTCTACAATATTTTTATTATTTGGTCACGGTTGGAGACATGGGCACGACTCTAGGAATGACAAGGTTTGACGTGATAATTTCTAGAAGGTCCAGTCAGTGCTTCTAGAAGAACGAATAAACCAGCCGTACGTCTCTGGAATTTGGATTTGGATTAAACTCAAGTTTTAGGATAATATTTTAAACATTATATGTATTTTAGTTTAAATAGGTTTTAGTATTACAATTAGGATTTAGGTTATTATTTTAAATATTATTTTATTTTATCTTTGTGTTAGGTATTTTAGTTTAAATAGTTTTAAGTATTTTAATTAGGATTTAAGATATTATTTTAGGAATTATCTTTAGCTTGTATTTAGGAATTTGAAGGTTCTAAATACCCTCTCAGGGTAAGCCTAGAAACACATCTATCTCATTTGAGAATAAAATCTTTTTCTCTCTCTATTTTTCTCTCTATATTTCACATACTTCCTTTATTTCCCTTTAAAATTTTGTTTTCAAATTTGTTAAGTATGACTTTGGTCATGCTTAGCTAATTTTCTTTTAAGCCGAATGCTAAAGCAAATGCTCAATTCCAAACGTGAGAATTGTAAGACACTTAAATTGCTTTAGATTTTTCTCTTTGTTTTTTGGGCTTATTTTTCGAATCAAAACAATGTTCAACATTGGTCTGGATATTGTTATGGTTAACGTTGGAAGAAGGATTGACTTATTGAAGCACATTCAACTTCCTGAGAACAAACTGAACAAAATTGTTTGCTAAGAGAAAACGAAGATCAGAATCAGTTATTGTTGAAGCAACATAATCCGAGTCGGCAGCGAGGAATTGTTCTTGTAGTAACCAACGTGAATCCTAAAGTAAAAATCAGTTTCGATGATCCAAGGACTTTTAGGCAAAGCTGAAGTCTGAGGCTGTTTTTATAATAAGTTTTATTTTTCTCTATCTCTTTTATTTATTTTTAATCTTTATATTTTATTTCTTTAAATAATTTAAAAACCCCCTTTTATATTTATTACTATTACTATTTATTATTTTATTATTTTCCTTTTTTATATTTTATTTATTTTATTTTAATATATCTTTTCAACTTTACCTAAAATTCTATCTTTCCCTAAATCAAGAAAGAGTTTTATTAAATCAAAAACACTACAATCCCTATGGATCGACCATGTTTCTCTATACTACCTTTTCTTTTTTATTTATTAAGAAGTCAGGAATTATCTTGATAACAAAACCACGGTTATCAAATTGGTGTCGTTGCCGGGGACTAACGGCAAGTACTGATTTATTTTTCTAGTTTTTTATTTCTGACCAGAAGAAACCCAGGTGAATTAATAGATCTAGATCCAGAGATCGAAGCACAAGCACGAAGAATCCACGTACAAACACTTCGAGAAAAGAGAAAAAGAAAAAAAGAACAAGAGCAGAGTTCAGAAGCAGAATCAAATCCAGAGACAAACTCTAAAGCAGACGCATACAACATCCCGATGGCAGAAAAAGAACAAACAATCCGAGAGTTAGCCACATCTCCTGTCACTCAGACGCCATTATGCATCAATTTTCCTAGTGGTGGGACTCTGTTTCAATTAAAGATGAGACTTATTCATTTTCTTCCCACTTTCCACGGCTTTCCGACTGAATTTCCGCACAAACACTTGTTGGAATTCCACATTGTTTGCACTAGCATTAAACCATAAGGAGTTAGCCGAATAACAAATTAAATTGAGATTTTTCCTTTTCTCTTTAACCGACTTGGCTAAAGATTGGTTATTTTATTTACCTCCAAATTTAGTTAATTTATGGGCTGACATGAGTCGAATTTTTTTTGACAGGTTTTTTCCAGCGGCTAAAGGAAGCATGTTACGAAGGAGCATTCTTTCCATTCAACAAAAGAGCGAAGAAAGTCTTTATGACTATTGGGAACGATTTAAAAAGTTTTGCGCATGTTATCCGTAACACTTATTAAGTAAATAAACATTAATTCAATACTTTTATGAAGGTCTTTTACCAATGGAGATGAAAATGGGAGATGCCGCTTGTGGAGGAGCATTAGTTAACATGACCCTAACAACAGAAAGGGAATTGATTTCAACAATGGCAGCCAACTCTCAACAGTTTTCAAGTGAACCCAGCCGACGGGTTCACGAGATAAGTACATTTTCTCTTGAAAATAAGTTAGACAAATTTACTACAGTAGTTAATTCACTTGCTGCAGAAAAATATGGAGCAACAAGAGCATGTGGGATATGCACGAAGCTAGACCATCCAACGGATTGATGTCTGCTGATACAAGGAGGCAATTCAGAAATCAATACTGTAGGAAACTTTCCAGGTCCTCCACAAAGACAATACAACCCATACAACAACACTTATAATCCAGGATGGCGAGACCACCCAAACTTCAGCTACGCGGCAAATCAAAAGCCATCATTGAAAGAAATCATAGGAAATTTAGCAATTTCACAAGAAAAGCTGGTCACATGCCAAGAAAAGTTCATTGTATCACATGAAAAATTCCAAAGCCGAACCGAGACATATCTTCAAGAGTTAGATAACCAAGTAAGCCGACTAGCTCAAACTGTGGGGAAATTGGAATCACAAGGAAGACTACCTTTTCAAATAGAGTTAAATCCAAGAGAGCATGTTATTGTCATCACACATCAAAGTGGAACAATTATCTCACCCGAAGTTCCAGCAGAAAAAGCTGCACATCAGGAAGAACAATAGGAAACGTCACCTCCAGAAATACATGGTACGTCTGACTCACATCCTTCTCTTTCTTCTCATTAAAGTAACGCTACCACCTTTCCTATCAAGGTTGATGAAGCTGATAAAAGAGTTGAAGAAAGGGAGATCTTGGAGGTGTTCCAAAAAGTTCAAGTCAACATACCACTTCTTGAAGTAATTCGACAAGTACCAAGGTATGCTCGATTTTTAAAAGAACTTTGCACTACAAAAAGGAAATTAATGGGGCACGAAAAGGTAAATTTGGCAGAACATATCTCTACAATTTTTCAACGAAAGCTCCCACCAAAGATAAAGGATCAAGGTATATTCTCCATACCTAGCAAAATAAGTGATTTTAAAATTAAACGTGAAATGTGTAACTTAGGAGTTTCAATTAATGTTATGCCATTTTCTATTTATAAAATGATTACTAATGAGCCTTTGAAGGAAACAGGAATAATAATACAGTTGGCTGATCGATATGTGATCTACTCAGTAGGAGTGATGGAAAATGTCTTAGTAAAGGTCGATGCATTATTTTTTTCCTTTAGATTTCTATGTCATTGACATGGAACATGATAGGTCGGATTCTTATTCCGAAGTACTCTTAGGTCAACCCTTCCTAAGCACCGTACATAAAGATCGATTTTAGAAGTGGTATAATGATAATGGAATTTGATGGTGAGATCATTGAATTTGATATTTACAAAGCAATGAAATGCTCGGATCATGTTGAAAGATTTAATTATGTTGATGTTATAGATCCCTTAATTGATGAATATATTGAATCTAATCTTTCTTATAATCTTCCCAAGGATCCTGAACTTTGCCACAAAGAGGAAGAAATGGAGTTTGAAAATATTAATTCAATCAATTCTGATTTATCTTTACCTTCCTCTGAAGCTAAAATTTTACCTTATGTTTTGCAGGCACCTGAAATAAAATTGAAGCAGTTACCGGAACACTTGAAATATGCCTTTTTAGGCGAAAATGGAACCTTACTGGTGATCATCTCAAGTAAATTGTATGAAAAAGAATAAGAAGCTTTGGTAGCAGTGTTACGCTCTAAAAAAGAATCCATAGGATGGACCATTTTTGACATTAAAGGATTAAGTCCCTCGACTTGCATGCACAAGATCAAAGTCGAAGAAGGAGCAAAGTCATCACAAGAAGGACAACGCTGATTAAATCCACCAATGATGGAAATAGTAAAGAAGGAAATTCAAAAAATCCTTGATGCTAACATAATCTATCCGATATCGAATAGTAATTGGGTATTAAATTCATGTGGTTCCCAAGAAAATGGGAGTCACAGTGATCGAAAATCAAGAAGGGGAGTTAGTGCCAACAAGAGTTCAAAATGGATGACGAATTTGTATTGATTACAGGAAGTTAATCTCTCTTACTCGAAAAGATCATTTTTCTCTTCCCTTTATAGACCAAATGATTGAAAGATTAGCTAGGAAAACTCATTATTGTTGCCCTGATGATTTTTCAGGTTTTTTCCAAATCCAATAGCGCCAGAGGATAAAAAAAATGACTTTTACTTGTCCCTTTGGTACATTTACCTCTAGAAGAACGCCCTTTTGT